TTTGTCAATGAATATATTGAGTATTTGTTTTGAATAGTCCATGTGCAAAGTAATTTTCACGTTAAAATAAAAAAATACTTTTTGTCATCTCAAAAATCTCAAATTGCCTTTATGTAATCCATAAAACTTCCTCAATGCACTTCAAACGTTTTTTTTTTTCAGCAAAACTTTATAGTTTATCTGTTATTTTCTCTACCCTATCTCAAAACGGGATTGGGCAATTTGACCGACCTCGTAACCACCAAAAAAATCTAAATAAACCTAAATTAACCTTTTTTTTCTTTCTAGAAAGACTTCAAATTGTAACATGAAACTACATTTGTTTATCTGAAGTAGTTCTAAGTTTGTAATGTTATACATCTATTGATAATTAAATTTTATTGTTTTTTTTGCCCTTTGAACCATGTCTAACTACTATCCTCGCTATTATAAGTTGTAAATCACTCGGGGAACATGCAGCTCACATTACACTATTGAATTATATTACCCATGAACTGCTTGCTTGCATGCCTGGTGTGGCAAGAGGGTCTGATTTTCTATTTGATAGCTCTGTAACCAAACAGAATTGAAGGCTATAAAAATTATAGTTTTTTAAGCAATAACGATTTTATAGAGAGTATTTTACATTTAATTTTGTACATATTGTCGAGGGGTGATGGATAAAATAGGGATGATGACATGCTAAGTCAAAATGTATAATGTGGAAATTCAGGAGTTTTTCATATATTTCCTTGTAGAATTAAGAACTTAAAATTTGTATACTATTAAAATATTGATTAGTAGCTAAGAATTTATGCTATTCTACTTGGTATAACATAAACAAAAAAGTAGTTTAATAAAATGTTGAATGTAAGACACTAAAACCTTGTGTCATGTACAGTAAATGGTACCAGGGGCAACAGGGTTAAGTTGAACTGCATGGTAAATTTATTAAACTTGAGAAAAATATTGGAATGTTGTTTACAAATATCATACATTTGCTTGTAATCATTTTAAGTGTAGTGGTATACCACTGTTTGTAATTGTTACAAATTTTTTAGACTGAGCATTGGTTTAAAACTGTGTCAATGTTTCATTACTTTTCTGGCCAGAATGCTGAAAACCTCAATTGTCATTTCAGTTATTAAGACAAAACATAGTAGGATCTTCAAGCTTTTCCAGTCATTCTTTTAAACTGAATCCACATATATGTGAGGTAAAAGTTAATATCAAATGTTGATAGTCGTGTCTCATCTTACATTTTTAAGTTTTGGTTCACAAATTCTCATGTCATATGCACAATCTTTTTTTTTTCCAATTAAAATATGTTTTTCTTCTTTTAATGGCTAAAATTCATAATATAATTGGTGTTTACCAAAATGTTGTTTGGGAAAACTATTTAACTTGCATGTTATTTGTAATCTAATAAAAGGTCCAAGATCCTTTTTTTAATTGCCAAATTAGCAAATTGAAAATATTTGAGAGAAAAAGGAAATGAAAGTACAGTGTTAGGACAAGTAAAAAGGCCATTACTTTCTCAATTTAAGGTTCTTTCTGTACATTTTGAAATTAGTTGATTTTCTGTTTAAAAGTACAAGTACTGCTACAATTTTTTCAAAATTTTTAGGAAACAGGCATAGGCAAAGTCGTCAATGGCCTTAAACGAACTGATGGAAAAATTGGGGAAAAGGCTCGAAATATTGTTAGTACTTGGAAGCAGGTAGTGTCTAGTTCAGAGAATGCAGAAAAGGAACATCAGCATCAAAGAAATAAGGTACCTGAATATAGTCAAAACAAAAAGTCCAAAACCATGGCACAAAACTCTGTTGTACCCAGTCATCACATTTCTACTGGGTCAAAAAGAAAGCTTGTTGAGAATGAGGATGGTTTAAATCCTTCAAAATATAGATCTTTACATAATGACAGCTCAGAAGTTTATACTAATGAGTACCGTAATAAATCTGGAGATACCCGAGGTTCTTCCAGAAGTAGGTTTGGAAATAAATATTTGGATAGTTTAACAAACATGTCAGAAGAAGATGAAGAGCATGAATATGTTCCTATGTATGTAGACTCCAATGTTAATCGCAGAGACTCTCATGATGAGTTCTCAGGCAGTGAAGATACCACAGAAACAACTAAATGGAATTCTTCAACTTTGATTAAAGAAAGAGAAAGCAGAGTTGATACTAATCACAGATCTGAGCAGAAACAAGAAAATGTGGAACAAAATTCCACTAAACGGGGGATTGAAAAAAGATCTCTTGACTGTATTTCTTTTCCAAAATTTTCTGATGAGCACTATAAAAAAATACTAATAATGACATAAAAACAAAAGAACTAAAAAATAAAGAAAAAATCCACAAAAAAAAAGATGAGAAAAATGGAAGGCATGATAGAAACAATTCAGTAAACCTAGAATCCCAAGTTAAAAAGTCAAAAGCAAAAGGGTTGACTGAAGATAACTATACAAGTAAGGAAATGCCCAAAACTATCAAAAATACAAAGAAACTCTTGAAGATGGAGTGCACTGAAGGGTTTACAAATTCAGTTGCATCTTTTGAAGATTGTCTGGGATTAAATGATAATATGAAGACAAAAAAAAAGAAAACGGCAATTCCAGTATCTCCAGAGAAAACTACTCATAGCAAACATTCATCAACAGGGAGGGTGTCAAGTAAACATACAAAAACCTCTACACAAGCTTCTGAAGAGCCCAAGAAAAAATCCAAGAACAAGCATAAAGAGTCAAAACAAAAAGTGCCTCATTCTCAAGAAAACTCAGAATCCAAGTTAGGGAATATGCCAGTAGCCTTACAAGAGGTTAGCAGACTTTTTGAATATTTGTTTCTAGTTTTGTTTGAAAGTATAAATTTATTATTGCTAGATTATTGAAGTGACAAAACACATATGAAAAGTGTCATTTCCAGTTCTTTATTGCATGCATCAGGACCATTTCAGAAAAATGTTTAAGACAAATGTAAAAAATATAAACCATTATGTGAGATTTATTGTGATTTCTGTGATTTAAAAATCATACTAATTTGCACATACTATTTTTCAGGCAGATATCTAAACTCTGCAGTTAAGTTTAAACAAGTTATAAATACAGCTCGGTATATGTAAAGGACTACTAAATATTATTCTACTTTTTTTCAAAGTTCACCTGTAGTAGTTTAAGCTTTGACATATGAATTGCTGGGTTTTCTGTTTGAGTTTGGATTGGATTATTAGATTATCAGGAATGCTGTGTTTGCAAATATTTATCTGGTAAAATTTTGCTGACTAAAACTATTATTTTGCTACTAGCTATTTAATGCATTTGCATTTTACTCAAAAATATGATACTCTATAACCTGAGTGCTTTTGAAAGGTGGACCTTTCTTCTTCAGGGGCAAACTAGGATGGACCACGTAAAGCAAAGTGTGAGAAAAAGTGAAGTTTAATTGACATCATACATGCTACCGTGGAAATATGGAAGTGTTTTGAGTAGCTTTCAATGTATTATTATAAGTGTTTTTTTCATATCTGGTGTAATGCTACCAGAAACAAGAATTTCAGGTGTAAAGAAGTTAGAAATGCATTGTTTTAAAAAAGAAAGATGGTCAAGAGAAATTACACTTAAGTGTTAATAAGTAAAATAAAAGTAGGGTATTGATTAAACAGATATAATTAAAAAAATAACCCAAAAATTATCATAAATAGATAAGTATTAAAAAAGATTAGGGGTATTATTATTAGGGGTAAATATTGAGAATTTATTCAACAAGAACAAAAGAAAACTTATTTTTCTGACCGTGAACAAACTAATGATTGGAAATAATTGATTCCAGGATCTGGATTTATTCCAAGAGGTTGAGCGATGTTTAAAGTTGCAATCCAATAGGCTTCTTTTACCTCTTTATCAGATTTAGTTTTGAAATAGGTTTCATTGCTGATGGGAGTTACATCATTAATAGAATGACCAGTTGGTTGAAGTGTTGGGCAACAGGGAGGCCTTATTTAGTGTTAATGAAAGATTTATATTTGTTGAAACACTCTCTAAGAGTTATTTGGGACTGTCCTACATACTGGTAATTGCATTTTCTACACTGTATGGAATAACTGGTATTTTGGGTTGTGCAAGTAATTTCTTTAGAAATTTTATAGTGTTTATGGTCATATTTATCAGAGAAAAAGTTGGTGGTTTCATAAAATATCACGTTAGACTGAGCTTTATTGCATGGATGACAGCCTTTCTTTGATGGGATGTAATCCACTTTTGCATGGACAAGGATGTCTGTAAGATTTCTGCTTTTCTGGGTAAAGACATTGGGAACTTCAGGAAATATTTGTCTAAGCCAATCATTCAGTTTTAGTACATGAAAATGTTTTTTCAAAATGCTGGAAATTTTTTTGAGTTTACAGCGATGGGTAATAAGAAGAGCAATTCTGTTTGAAACTTTACTGTTACACTGGTTTTTTTCATTGAATGTTGGTAGCCTTTTGAATTTGTCTGTCAATTTTGGTATCTTTATATTCTCTTTGTAATATGGTTTGTTTTAAATCACTGATGTGTTTTCTGTAACTTGTTTCATCTGAACAGATTTTCTTTATTCGGAGACCTTGACTATAGGTAATATTCTGTTTAGTGTGAGTGGGGTGGCAGCTTTTACAGTGAAGATATTGTTGTCTGTCAGTAGATTTTCTGTAGAAATCAGTGTGTCACATTCCGTCCTTTAAAAAAGATAGTGATGTTGAGAAAGTTAATTTGGTTGGGGAGTAATCAAGGGTAAACTTGATTGTTTTGTGAAAGGTATTGGCATAAAAAGTAAAGTCTTTAAGTAATTCAGAAATGGCTGTCCAATTGAAAAATATGTCATCTATGTAATGTTTTGGTATGAGGTTTTATGGGGGCTTTGTTGTAAAAGCTGGCTTTCAATATGGCCCATAAATATTTGGCATAGTTAGGAACCATTTTGGTACCCATTGCAGTACCTTTAACCTGAAGGTAATGTTTGTTATTGAAATTGAATTGTTTAGAGACAAGACAAGGTTGACAAGGTCAGTTACTGTTTGAGATTCAGATGGGTTAGAACAGGTTACAGCAGATTTCAGAATTTCAAGCCCTTTATCATGTGAAATATTAGTGTAAGGGGAAGAATCATCCATTGTACACAGAAGGCTGTTAAGTTGTAAATGTCCATTGGTATTGATATCTTTTATGATGTTAAGAAAGTGAGTCATGTACTTTATGTAAGAAAGGAGAGTACAAGGAATACTTTTGATATTGTGGTCAATAAAAGTAGACAGCTTCTCAGTAGCCATGTTTGTGTCAGAAATTATGGGTTGGCCATGTACTGAAAAGTTTCTTTGTTAATTTTCTTGTTTTGAGGAGTTCTTTAAGTTCATTACTGATGGTTTTAGTAAACTGAGTTGTAGGATCCTGTACAAGTTTCTTGTAGAAATTAATGTCCTCAAGCTGGTGGTTTGCTCCAATGATATAGTCATCTTTGTTACAAATAACAATACCTCCACCTTTATCTGTTGGTTTGATTTAAGATTTCTAGAGCAGTTCTCTCTTTATGGTTTAGATTATTGTGACATTGCTTGGAAGATTTAAAGTTTGTATTATGTCCTTTTCTAAAGATTTAATACAACTCTCTCTAGGTATGGTTCTCTGTTCAGTGGAGATGTCCAAGAAGACTCTTCTCTGAAAATTGGCATAGGTTGATTGTTAGTATTTTGCTGATACTTTAAATACAGCACATGAATGCATACTTTTTAATATTTTTATTGTCTTTAAATGTGAATGTTTTAAAATTTTTTTTCAAATAGCAAGGGGTTATTGATAATAAAACTTCCCCATTAGTGGGGGATAATTTGTTGTTTAGTATCACCCCACGTAGATATTTGGGAGGCTTACATTTATAGTGCATTGGTAGCAGTTGGGGTTCAAGGAGACTGAAGAATTAAGTTGCATTTGGATTACTCTTAAGTTTGAAGAAGATCAGAGTTGATAGAATATTTGTTTTCATCTGCACTATATAGTTTAAATGTTTATTTTTTTTTACTATATTATTAATGAAAGACAAATGTAAATACTACAGGCCTAATTGATGCCTGTAATATATGTAAAAATTATTGTACTAGATTCACAAACAGTTGAGCAACAAATTGGTTTGGGAAAAATACAGTCCACTATGTGGTTATTCATTCCACTCAAAACACCAGTTAAAATTTTGAACGTTTTATGTGCATAGTTTCATAATGTAAAAAGCTAGTGAATAACACTATTTTGCTACCAACATTATCATGCAGGTTGCAAATTCTCACTACTGCCTTAAAAAGGCAACAGCTCTGTTACTGTCAAATCCAAAGAATGAGTTTTACTTTCAGATTTAACATTTTGCATTATAAAATTTTTCAAACTAGAAAAACAATTAATGATCCAGCACTATTTGTTATCCTGATGGATAATTATAACTTATAAGAATGTTGGTTTAAATTGTCATTGATACAGCTTCCTCCATCAGTTGTATTCATTCTAATGACATGATCACCTATTGTTGCCAGATCCTGCCTTTTCCATTGTAGCATGTTTTTGTGAAAGATGAAGAGATCAATTTTAGACTAATTATACTGACATTTTCCAAAGACCTACTATACAGTATACACAGAAATAAGCTTCCAAACTATGCTTAATCAGGCCAAAGGCACTAAAATGTATTGAAGCTGCACCAGGGTATTTTAAAGTTATGTGGTCAAATGGGATTTCTATGATTTCAGATTCTTTGGCCATCTTTTTCATGAAAAAGTTGATATCAAGGTGTTGCTGGGAACTTATGAGCCTTAACCAACTTAAAACCTTTGTTCACTATCATTTTAAAGATTGCAGAAGATATGCTTAATTTCATTGCAAAGACTGTGGATGAAGGTATTGGTTTATATTGAATTATGGTTGTGGAGCACATTGTTCTGTATTTTGCTTCCATGGAAAACATTGAAGGTCCGCAATATGTGAAATAATGTGTCATTTGGCTCTACATCATTTAACAATCTTATTATGTAAATATCCTCATATTGTGAAGGCCATGATATATTCCTCCAATCATAAAGCTACTAATGGTGACGCTACACCGTTGAATGGTTTGGGAATTCACAGTGAGCCAAGTATATAGATACTAAATGTATTGTATATGGCACCATAATTTGCATATGCAAGTCATTTTTATGAAGTGTGATTAACCCTCTGTATATGGCTAATGTAGAGTAGGTATGTTTTGTATGTGGAGAAGGAAGACATTATTGACATTATGTAAATCACCTAAAACTGTAGCATTTCTTGCATGCAGATTATTGTAGCTGACTGGGATAATCTTTTGTTTAAACTGCCCGCTACACACATTTTCCTTTTTTTCTTGTGTTTGAATGAAATTGTCAGTATTCCTCTGTAAGTTGGCTTATATATTTTGTATTATACCACTTGTCTTTACACTAGCTAATAATGCCACCCCATCAAAACCAAGTAGCAATGCTATTAGGTTTTGAATAAAGCAGTGTGTGTACAACTTAGAATGTTACTTCTTCACATCCAGTTCCAAGACTGAGCTTCTTATTCTTTATGCCCAGTATCTTGATATCATGTTGATCTCACTTTATTTTCATTGTATTATTTCTATTATTAAAACCATTTAAAATATTTTACAGTGAAGACTATAGTTTTTAGTTAATATAGGTACATCTATTATACTTCACATTTTCTTTTTTTTCTTTCCTCTGTACTTATTATTATGGTTTCGTCAGCTTTCATGTCATTTTCTTCACAGTGTTCCCAGTATGGA